TCAGGAACACCTGGGAGAGGGGGAATTTGGGAATATCCACCCAAATCCCAATGGGAATGGGAGAATCCACCCGGAATCCACAGGGGAATGGGATAAACCACCCAAAGTCAGGAGGGGAGTGGGATAATCCACCCGAAATCCAGAGGAGAGAGGGATAATCCACCCGAAATCCAGAGGAGGGGGTAAGATCAACCAATCCAGAGGAAAAGTGGGAAAATCACCCAAAATCCAGTAATCCAACTGGAATCCAAAGGGGAGGGGAGCAACATCCAGCAGAAAAGTGGGAAAACAAGCCAAAATTCGGAAGGGAAGGGGGAAAAATGACCCCAAATCCGAAAGGGAAGAGGGATCCCATCCCAAAATCCCGAGGGAATGCCACACTCACCTCATCAAAGCCCATCTTGTCGGGGACCTTGGGGGGCACCCACACGTGGGGGGAGGGCTCGGCCGGAGGCAGCTTCACTGGGAACGGGAGAATCCCACTGGGAATCAACCCCGGAGCCTGGAGGGGACATTCCCAATCCCAAATATCCCCATCCCACCAGGAATCAACCCCTGAGCCTGGGTGGGACATTCCCAATGCCCAATTTCCCATCCCAGGAGTCTGGGGGTGACTCTGTGGGGTCCCCCCATTCCACGCCAGGCTCCCAAGGCCCCGGATCCGTGTGGATCCCGCCCCTCACCCATGATCTCCAGCTGGACGTGCAGGAAGTTGTCGGCCTCATCCCGCAGGGAGCTGTGGGAGCGCAGCGGGACTGGCAGGAACCCGAACACCTCCCGGTTACTGACGAACATCTGCACCCCTGGAATGGGATCGGGAATGGGATTGGGATGTGCTCAGGAACCCAACAAACACCTCCCGGTTACTGACAAACATCTGCACCCCTGGATTGGGATTGGGAATGGGGAGGCACCCCAGGAATGGGGATGGGATCGGGGGGTGTCACTCCTGGAATGGGATCAGGAGGCAGATGGGGGTTACCCCTGGAATGGGAATCAGGGGCTCGCACCGGGAACGGGGATAGGAACAGGAATAGGGGGGCACCCAAAGACAAAGCCGAGCCCAGCCTCGAGCTGCGCTCAAGGGACTGAAGTCCAGCACAGCCTGATGTTGAGTCCAGCCCAAACCCACCCAAATTCAACCCAAATCCCACCCCAAACCCCACCCAAAGCCCGTCTCTGACCCGCGTGCCGGCAGGCGAAGGCGAACACGATGATGTCGTCGAAGGCGCCGCCGTAGCCGGGGGGGGGCGGGTGGAAGGCGAGAGCCCCCGAGCGCTCCCGGCGCAGATCCAGCAGGAACGTCGAGTGCACCATCGGCACCGCGAAGCAGCCGCGGCGCTCCCGCCGCCGCAGGGGCAGGTACGCGGGGGTGCGGCGGTAATAGCCCTGGGAATGGGAA